GGGGGGGGGGGGGGGGGTGATGTATTTTAGTTCGAAAGGAGAGAATAAATAAATATGTTAATTGTTATTGAGCAAATAAGGAATTATGTTTAGCTAAGTAACAAATAGCGTTTAGATATGCGAATTATTTCGTTAAACGAATCGTTCCCAGATGTACGTGCAGGTTATTGGGATTTGGGAAAATAGCGCTCACAAATCCGAACTCACGATTAGTTGTGTGTAAATTTCCTGATAAATATTTTACGCGTGGAAATGATTCGATATGGTTACGGAATATGTTCTATATAAGAGCATTTAGCAATTCAACTTTCTATGCGACCATAATCATGGAGACAGCAGGGAGTTGAAATTGAATGCTGCTGATTCCGTGCAGTTAGTGAATATATCCATATGATAATGATCCACCGACAATGCTATCTGATGCAAACGAGGTCTAACTTCCATGGCTAATTAGTGTACATTGTTAGAAGCATTGTCCGGTTGTGCTAACTTAATAACGAGTACAAATTAACTTTCAAAGTTTTTTGTCTGCTAGGCATTTCGTCCCTCGTGCTCTGTAAAACGATCAAATAGAAGAAACTTCTTAATCCGTATACACACTTCCACTGAAACTTGCAACGTCTATGAAATTTAACTAGCAGCACGCGGTATATTAACATGATCCAATCCCTTTGAAATTGCGATACATTCGCCGCGTTTACCGGGCACGTAATACTTCGTGTTTCGATATTTCGATATTTTTAATAATTTTCTGCAAATTTTTATTTCCCAAAGCAAATTCTAGAAAAGATTGAGATTTAAAATTTAAGTAGTTTCTAAAGAATTGTAATTCGTGAAAAATATATTTTTAATAAGATTTCGAGCGAAGGACGAAACCAGACCGAAAAATAGATAGAAGCCAAGAGTTTATCAGACACGAAGGGACGCAAGAAGCGGGATTAAAATGGGTGGAAGTGCAATTGAGTGGAAAAATCGTAGTCTCGCGATTATTATCTTTCCCAATTTCGAAGCATACCGTAAAGCGATTTATCGCGTTCGCGGACCGTAGGAAACGCTGATACGCTGTTCGGAACCATTCGATCGAACGCGGTACGAATTCCTCCGTGATCCCTTTCGATGGCAAAAGTTCGGGTCTCTCGTTCCCTTTTTCCCCGGCGCCCCGCCGCCATATTACAAATTTCGCGGGAAAAGAAAGTTACACACGCCGTTCGCCTTTGATGCCTGGCCGGAAACTTTAACGCATTCCCGGCGATATGGATCGGCAAACTGCTTGATAGCGTATCACCGAGGAAATTCGTGCGCCAGTGTGTAAGAGGAGAAGGTATTAACGCAACCTCAACTTCGGCTATTTATTAGCGTGGCGTAGTAATGCCAGCTGATGAGCTTCAAGAGGAAATACCGCTTCCCTTCATCCCCTTCAACCAGAACTTACGCCGCTGTTAGTTTATTAACCTTATCCTTCAACGATGCTCGATTATCAGCGGGGAGATTAATCTACCGTGTATACTGGCTCTTCCATCTTTTCCTTTATTTTCTTTTTCTTTTTCCATTCTTTCCGTCATTTTTTTCTTCGTCTCCGTCTTAACGATCAGGAAGGAAGTTGAAGTTTGTTAATTTGTACGCGAGCCAAATTAAACGAGATGTCATCTGGAGTTTACGATCATCTGGAGTTTGGGATTTTTATAAGGGATGGGATAAAAATTTCTTCCCTACCGCACTTGCCTTTTACGCGGACGAAATTGCCGGTTGAGTTTCGGGGGTGCGACGAATTAAGATGGTCTTGAGCGAGTATGGCGACATTTAAAATTCATTTCGAAATGAATTTTAAAATTCAGTTTACAGTTCGGGTTCGAGTTCGGATGGAGTTTCGTAAGCGTGTATTTCGTGGAATTGGGGCTAATGTAAATTCTGCGTTTTTTAACCCTTTGCACTCCACTCTACCCTCCCCAGGGAGGTGATAAATTCTGCAAACGACTCGAATGTCTTCTCTAAGGGGATACAAAGCGATTACTCTAAAGCGTAAATTTCGTTAAAAGCATGACGTTTTTAATAAGATTCTGAGCAAGATATTTTAAACAAAAATAATTAGTTATATCATTTTATTTAAGGCGATTCGTTTCATTAATTTTTCACTGTAAAGATTTAATATATGGGATATATTTTTCAGGTATTTCGTGTCTTTACAGAGATTTTTGTTTGATAAGAGCAACTCGAATTTAACTATCTTTAAAAATAATTAATTGTATGATTTTATTTGAGACGATTCGTTTGATTCATTTTTCAGTGTAAAAGTTTGTTATAAAGGATATATTTTTCAAGTATTTCGTGTCTTTACAGAGATTTCTGTTCGAAAGGAGCAACTCGAATTGAATTATCTTTCTAATAAGACTTAGGATCTTTAAATTTGCAATCAAATTTCCTTGCACTTTCCTCTCTTTCTCCGTACCGACTTGAACCATCTTTTATCTCAAAAAGAGCCCTCCATAGGCCTAAAAGTATCAACATCCCTGGAGGTGAAACTTTTGGTCAATTTAGATAACGTTTACCGCGTGTTTCAGTCATCTCTTTTCCCCCGATAAATTATGCCACTCTTTTATCGCGCGGGATATTTAAATTCGGCGAAATATCAAACAGATATGTTAAACAGAATTGTTAACGAAGGTAAACACCATTTACCGCGTGATTTCCCGCGTTCATCCCGTTTTGAATTAAAATATCTCGCTCTCCGGTGCACGTAATAAATTCATTTTCATTTATAAAATCTCCACCCCCGTTGGATTCCGAACAGAAACGTCGGGCGCGCTTTTTACACAAATTAGGCAACATTTATCGTGCGGCTTTAGTCGTTTTTCTCTCCCCGTGGGTTATTTAGAGAAGTAACGTCGCGAGCTGTGCCGGTTGATAAGAAACCGTCGAAAGAAGTCGACGATTACGCGAAAATTCGCCGGCTTCTTTTTGCCGCGGAGGTTGCGGAAGGAAATAAGACTTCTGTCGGCGAAATAGGAATACAGACGACATTGGAAGATCGGCCGATGACCTCGATTCGAGAAGATTCGTTTATCTCGATATCGATCGCGAGATCCGAATACTCGTCCTTAAAACCACCTCATCGGAAATAACTTTTCTCGTTAATCGGAACGTTCGTTGCGTATGTTTCAAGTAACTAGAAGAGAGAGAATAAAAAAGAGAGGCAGAGAGAGAAAGAGAGAAAATGTGTTAGAATGATATGGAAAATGAAACGAAAAGATAATAAATCAGAACTCGAAATAATAAATCGTAAAGCAACTGAAATTGTCGGCGCGTGCGTTGAAAATTATCCCTGTCTAGAAAATGAATCTTCTCACGCTGTTAAATATTTATATTCTATTTCGGAAGAAGCGTTCACAAGCTTCATTTACGTGTAGATTTATCCAAACATTAATCCTGATATAATATTTACGAAGAACCGTAGTTTCCATTATAAAGCATGTTGCGGACACCTGCTGTTTATTTATTTACTACGTCTAGGAATTGTGTGCGTTTCCTCTGTATACCATGTGCAAATACTGGTTAATTTGCTAGCGCAGGCGACATAATTAGCGTATAAATATTTTACTTGTCGATGAGGAACCAAGGGTGTTAATACATGGACGAGTTAATCGTGCTCGAGATGTTTGGAGTTTGGTTAACATCGTTCGAGAACTTTGATGAGATCGAGTCGTATCTTGTCGTTGTTTCCATTGAAAAGATGAGCGGGAGTTTTGTTAAAGATCGTTGAAAAGTATTAACAATATTCTGTTACTCGAAAAGGATAAATAAAACAAATAAATAAAATAGACGAGCGAGATATCGTTGTATCCTCGTTTAACATTAACGAAGTTAATTTTCATCTTGGACTATTGTTTATGGGAGATGAAAATTAATATGTTAACACGTTAAGTGCCTAGTCCGTTTTGCTTGCCGTTCCGTTCAGGCCCAGACTCGGCTGTCAAGTGGGCCACCGGTGGTGGGCGAAGTGTTCATAAAATTCGGAGATACTGTACCAATTGTTATAGCAGGAATTCCCAAACGATAGGTCCAAAGATGGCGAAGAATTTAACACCAAAAGTTAGCACCTTTTGGTCCTAGTTTGGCTAGGACTGGCCGGGTCTGAACGGAAAGTCTAGCGCCGGACCTTGGGGACCAACATGACACTTAACGTGTCAAACGTCACGTCGGTCCCTTGGGATTATCGCTAGACTTTCCGTTCAGGCCCCGCCGGTCCCTACGACTCGGAAGGGCCCGTATGACGGCTAACTATGGCGTAAATGGAACGACACGGTTTTAATCGGTGTGGCGTTTAACGTGTTAACTCTGTGTTTGTAGTCGATGGACTGTCACGATGCGTGTGTAACATTGATCAAAAACGGAGAGCAGAGATAAAAATTGGAGATCGAATGCAAGCAGTGAAACTTAGGAAAGTATCTATGAATGCGCCTATGGACTAACAGTTCTAACATGATCAGAGCGTTGAACAGCGTTGGTGCCTCAGAACAAATGTCAAGGTGCAGTAAAGTGCAGAAAACACGATGCCAAAAAACAAGCTGTTCAAAATACGGATCGAAGCGAACGGTTTGCAGAGTTCAAAGGAAATTCACGTGTCGGAGTTAAGAAGGTTCATAAATTTTAACCAAACGTAGAATCGACCGTCGATTAAACGTCGACTTCATTTTCCTCGGTTGCCAAATATTCCCGAAAAATGGAGCAACTTCGATTTTCCTTCGTTCCCAAATTCCAATATCGAACCGAGTCCAACTCTCTCACCAGAACCCACGAAGGATCCTATTCCGACTAATCTCCGATCGGTTTAATATCTCGGTTGTACCATTCGACATTAAACGAGCGACTAGTATTGTTCGACACACGTGAATCCCATTCAGAACCGAGTTGTTCAGCCTCGAACCGTTCAAGGCAGAAAAACCGCGTGCTTCTTGTCGGCGCGTTCCTCGGAATCTTCGCTGGGAACTCATGGCCCTGGGCGTCTAAAGCGATTTTCAGGCGTTCACAAGGAAATTCGGGCATGGAACCGGCGGGAATCGGAATCCCGCACGCAAGAAAGACAACACTATCGATCTTGTCAAAGTTTCCAATTCTCATGAACGATGGTGGCTTATGGTGGTGATGTCGTGAATAGACGAGGAGAAATTTACAAGCCTTACCACCACCATTGCCAGGCCCTGAGTTGTCTAGCGCTTGGATCTCCATTTTGTGCAGCAGCTTCGTTGTAGCGGTTGAAGTAGTAGTAGGCGTTCCTGCACAATAAACACCACATATCGCGTCTATCAAGTAGTAAGCATATATATTTCTACGAACTGGGTAGTTAGAGTGTTAGAAACGGAGGCGGCCAATCACGGGTTTTAGTTCGTTCTAGTGGGTTAGCTGGGGGGTGGTAATCCTTTCTTTTTTCTTTTCTCTTTTAATCGAAAGGAACATAGTGATAAGCGATGATCGTGAGACGATGTGGACATACGGTTTCTCTTTAAAGTTTCCAGTCTTGGACCGTGATCTATTTTAGTGTTGGATTTTAAGCGGAACACTAGTGTTAGTCGTAGAGAAAAAAGGAAAGATCGAAGAACGAAAGAATGAAAAATGAGGCTTAACAGAGAGATAGAGACAGAGAGAGAGAGAGAGAGTAGACTATCAATTATAAATGTTTTCCCAATGTGTACATGTTATTCTACGGAAGCTGTATACTTTACTATGTTTGTCGTAGAAAGTATGCTACGTGATTACGTGATTTAATCACTCGTATCGTCCGAGCTCCCGGCACGGTATTCGGCAATAGCGAAAACGTAAAGTCATGGAAAGTGTCGGATCGTTAGTGACAAATGAAATAAGAGGTCGACCGAAAGACTAAATAAACTGGGAAACTTACGAACACCGTTCGATATGCGCATGCATTCGGAGATTATTCGCTGTCTAATTATACATATTCAAACCGCGTTCTGTAAATACGGTAAATGCTAACGCAGAAACGAACAAATAAAATGTGATTGAAAATGGGTCAGTTTGCTTCGAGGTTTCCATTTGTTGCAAACGTTTTCCAAATATTTTATACTATGTTAACAGACGTTCCGATGGCTCCTTTTTTTTCCGTGGACCTTGTTTTTTCACTATTCCCCGTTAAAAACACGCGAATGTAATTGCATTAGGTCGAAACACGAGATAAATATATTCCCGCGGAAATGCCTTCGGCCCGGTAATTAATGTCTCGCGGTTTGGTGCAACGTTAAACGAGCACTGCATTATACCACATAATGTTCGCGGAACTTCAGGAGTCCTTTAATTTTATTATGCTAGTTTCGTGACAAGTGAGAGAGATAATCACGTAAAGGAACTAAGTTTTCAGCACGAGTTATCCGATGAGAAATGTGAAAAGTCAAAGTTCCAGGCGACTGTTACATTTGGAAAAATGAACATTATTACGTCGTCTTAATGAAACGCGAATGATATAACACCGTTAACTTTTTATGATACATTAATGAAACGTGACGTTTATTCGCATAGCAGAGACGGGCTGAATAAATAATTCATTAGGATAGGTATCCGGAGTTCGAATACTACTTCGATTCTTTCTTTCGATTAATCCAGCGGATAATTATGAAGATTTATGACCAGGATATTAAAACGAACTTTTAATCACATCAAAGTTTGTTATTATTCAAACATATCACATAAAAGTTTAACATTCAACTAGACTAGACAAGGTACAATTAGATTTTTCCAAAACACAGGTTATACAAGCAGCATTAAATTCTCGATTCGATCGCCAATAATTTCACGATCTTTTTCTTTTTATCTAGGATTAAAAAGAAACTCGTACAGTGAAAAGCAGCGCGATATTTTTATTAATCGATCGAAGACTGAAGTAATGACAAAGGGGATGGAAATAAACTCATAGGGGGTGACAATGAACGAAGACTCGGTGCTCGAACAAAGTTAGTTCCTTCTAGATCTTCTGAAGACGAAAATTCGTTACTAACATCTAATCGACATCTAAATGTTACAAACTACAAAGCCATCTATGCCTCTCAATTATTCTACGATTAGTACATTGTCAGTCGTACACTCGAGTGGACCACAGCTCTAACAGAGTTACACGAGGTATCCCGTTTAAACGAGTACAGTGGAATATCTCTGAAGTTCACACAGATCCAACCCTGAAATCCCATTTACTATTAATAACTCGTGATGCAACCCTTCGTAACAAACAACTCTCGCGAGAACATCTTTTTGCTAACTTCTCCCCTTCCATGACATTCCATTCACTCGCACGAGACAGCCTGTGGAACAGAGAACCTCTACCGGGACAATTGGGTAAGAGCGAAATCTAGGAAAAATTTCGTCAATAATTTCCTCACTCCCTAGTGGAATTTCCGGCCGACGGCCGGCGGAATCGTAAAACGCCGTGGGATCAGTTATTAGTCGGTGGAAGTTTGCGCGCACCTGTTCTACTGGAGCGGCGGGCGGCGCGGCCAGTAGTACGTATCAATAATAAGTCGGCCGGCGGGAGTCACCGAGGCGGATCGCGATGCTCGTCACGTGCGGGGCCGTCGAATAGACGGGCACAAATTGGCAAACACGTGGGACGAACGAAGGGCTAACGAAGAATCCACTCTGGTGTGAAAGCGAGTCGCGCTATGGCCATTGGCGTCGTGTGTCACGGAGTAGGACACATCCTCCGCTTTTTTCCCGGGACCGTCCGAAGAAAGCCCGAGAGAGGGTTCGGCGTGGGCCAGTCGGAGCGAGGGGGAAGATTTAGTCCATGGAAGCGAGAGAAAATTGGACGATAATAGGCGAGGCGTGCTGCTTGCGAGTACAAGCAATTTAACCTGTGTGTAATTTAGTCCTTTCCTTCTCCGTCTACGCCGCGCGGCCACGGCTGCAACCGGACGAACTGAAAACCCTTCTTTGGCCGAGATGATAACGAGGCAAGAGGAAGGACGTGGCTACAAGTTTCACCGCAAAATACCCGGCCGTCTGTGAGTAAACGTGATGCACACGCCAAGACCTGTCGACGCCCACTACTTGACCCTTCGGCGCGGGCTACCCTCTTAGGACTTTGCCCTTTGAACCCGACTGCCGTCGCTGGAATGTCATCTTGGCGGGATCAGACGTAGCCAGGATAATGGCGGGACACGTATAATAAGCTGAAACGCTGCACGCTTGATTAAGATGATTTCGACCAGCGTTGCTCGCGGTTACGTCGGGAATGGTGATTAGGGCCACGAGGCTCTGCATTTTGCGGGGTCTCTAGCGTCGAGGAGTATGCGGTTCACCCCGATGCCGCCTTTTTCGTGTACAATCGTACGAATTACGTGCTCTACCGCTTTTACGGCATTTGGACATACACAGAGAGAGATTTTCCTAACGATCCCGTCACGCGGTACAGGCGAATAGCTTCAAGGGATACCTTCGAAGAGACCTCGAACTTCGAAATTCTACGTTTCCTTCTCGCCAAGTGGAACTCGTCGAGACCCTCGTAGCACTCGTTCCTGACTGGAGTAGACACGAAGTAGGATACTTTCGGCGAGCCTCGGGAATTTTCAGTTTCCATTTCGGAATCGTGGAATATTATTTCGCGAAGCAGATTCTCGGAAATACTTTGCCTCCGTGGTTCTCGTTATTCGCCGTGTCGCTTTATTACCACGGTCTACGCGCGATACTAATTCGGCGAGAACCGAGCGTGCCGGACGGAAGTCCGTCCCCGGTGGTGTTGCAATATTTCCTCATGGAAGCGGAAACGCGGAAGGACGCGACGTTCGTGGTGCGCGTGCGCGCGTGTCGCCGGCGAGAAGGATGGAGCCGTGAAAAAGATACGTAAATTACCAGCACGATCTGGAGTGATTTATTTACTGACCCAAAGGAAGATGTCGCTTCGAAGTTCTACGTTGATGTTACGCGTCGTGGCACGTGACGCGGGTGACACGTATCACGCGCGTGCTCGTGCATTCGTATGATAATAACGTACACGCACATAGCCACAGGGACACGTATGTACACGCACACGGACACGTAGATAAATGTAACGGGGTGTAACACATATACAGGGTTGATTTTGCAAACCGATCACGTTTAATTTATCGTATTGTCGCTTGTTGTTTGTCATACGCACAGAAAACATGTACACACAGGAGACACGACTGCACGCGAGCCAGGAGAATTCTTCGATTATTATTGGACATTGAACATCCAGTCACATCGACAAGTTATTATCGACATCGCATAATTACACGGTAAATACACGAAACGTTTTTTTTAGTACCACAGTTTTATTGGCGAAACATCGCGATACTTACTTCGTGGCAAGTTGCGTGTGTAGTAATTACCGATAGCAGAACTCTGTAATTATCTTCAGTATAGTAAAAGTAAAGCTACAGGTTGTTAAAAAAGTTCACTCGAGATATATTTATTCGTCGATACAGACTTTCAATTCGTTCCTTAATCCGCATTTGAAAAAGATTGTCTAATTATCCAAGAAAAAAGAAATGAAAAAGAAAAAAAAGAAGAAAGAAAGAAAAATAAACGAAAAATATATAAAACACCTGAAATGATACAAAGTAAAGGATATTTTTTTTGTCAACTATTAATTTACCACAAATCAAAGCAATTAACCCTTTAACCGCATAAACCTCGAGGGAAATCTCCAAATGAAAATTATAACAGCTCGTTCCATTATCAAACAACGTATTTATCATGTTCAAGCGAGCTACCGCGATTCTCGTATTCTATCCACCCCTTTTCGAGGAGCTCGTTATAAAAAGAAGGTCGAGGTAAACCAATTAAAACCACTCAGCGAATTTATCGCGGTTATAAAAGAGCAAACTTCGCCGGGCAAATATTTATGTCGCGAAACGCGTGCAAACTCGCGGCGTTCCAGTTAAAGGGTTAACGTCATTCGATTTCCAAGGGGCGCGGGAATAAAACGTCGTTAATTCGCGTAACTGCAAACTGCATTTCCCTCTTCATTCCCGGACCTCATTAACGAGCAATTCCATTTTTCTTTTTTCCCTTTTCACCCCTTTCTCACCACAATATGAAGAGATCGAAGGGTGGAAACGCTTCCGATGGCGCGCGCGCGACAGAGGAAGATAGAGAAGGCCGTAGAGATAGATAGAGAGAGACGAAGATAGATAGGATAGATTAAAATACGTTTATACTAACCGGGATAGTAGACGGTTTTGTGGGAAACGTTGTAGTTCGCCTTCGGTATACCGAGCAAGCATTTGACAATCGCTGCTTCCGGTAAATCTTCGTCCAGTAAGGCCGTTCGTGATAAGATATCGTACAGTCCATCGTCACGCAGCGTAACGGTGGGCTTCGCTGTTTGCTTTTCCGGAACACCCCTGCAATGGAAGCGACGTTTGCAAAATTATCACGACCACGTTTCAAGCCGAAATATCATGCAATATGTCGGCCGAACGCGCGGCATTAGCATGTTAATGTTATTTCGCAGACGCACGCCGTGTCGTCTTCCTTCCCTCTTGTTACCTTCCCTGTTGTTCTTGTAAACTTTGAGCGATGGTCTTCGAATAATTCTCTGCTAGGGGTTCAAATCGATCGTGCATCTCGAGATCGATAAAACATTACGCGATTAAATGGAAGTAGAGACTTCTCTTAGCAGAAATTTTCAAGTGGAATTGGAGGAGGCTTTAAAAATTTAGGTTAGGTTATCCCAAAACTAAACATCCTTCAAATTTTAAGTAATCTTCGTATTGAAAGTTTCAATTAAAATTCGGATATTTGGAATCTTAAATATTCCAAATTTCAAATAAAGTTTCGAAATCGTGAAAATTTTGTTTCATAACTTGGATATGAAATTTGGGACGCCGAATGTTTTCCAATTTTCTAAATTACGAGTAACTTACTTAATTCCGTTCTTCGATATTTTATCTCGTCAGTCGAAAGCTGCAACGAATGTATAAAATAACGATAATGCTTATTTAGTAGAGTTTAACTTTTGCTTTGTCCCCGTACACGCTGCGTCTGTGTTTCGGGTTTATTATCAGAGACAACAGTGCTACGAGACTGTCTCACAATTTTCGTTGTTATCGTTGAGAGGTTTCCGGCGTTGAAATAAGACAATTTTTCCGTTTGTTTTCACTTGAACGTTTTTATCATTTATACTTTTGCTACGTTCCACTATTACAGCGATACGTTAGGGCCAAAGAGCTTCCATTATTTAATAATTACACCGTCTACGTAAAATCCTATTTATCTCGACGTTTAACAGGAAGCATTTACGCTTTCGTGATTGTTACGCGTGATAGTTGCTCCTGCTATGTCACTGTAATTTTTATTTAGCGTTACACCGCGCTGTAACTCGTAAAAGCATTAATTTCCATAAAAAGGAGAAAAAATAGGATTTTACGGGCGGACGGTGTTATAGAATTTTACGGGTGCACGGTGTTTAAGAAATTTACATTTTTATTTTCCCGTTACGGGTTCCTCTATGCGATATAATCCATACCGAAGATAGCTGGGAATTAGAATTTCTCTCTTTTCCCGACTAAAATGATAGCATATCGCGCCGTATCACGTGGAAACGTTTAATTCGTTAACAACGAAGCGGGAGTTCGTTTTTATCAAGATCTAAAAGTATCAGAAAATTGGGTAGTTTACCGTAGTGCATGGTTGAGAGGTTGAAAAGCTTGTTGGAGTACTTACTCGATGGATATATCCAGGGTGGGTTGTGGATATAGTCCTTCTGCCATGCACGTTATCTCCACCCCATCCTTATCATCTATAGTTTTCTTTCTATTTACAAGCTCGAATTTGTCCTCCGTTGCTGGAACAAACAAGTTTCACTTATGTAATTTAATACACGATTTACGTCCAATTCCAATCGCTAGAAATCTTGTTCGAATAATTATTCCAATTATTTTGTCTTCATTCGACAATTTTTTTTTTTTTAACAATTGTGGAATTATTTTATTAATTTTTATGTTAATTTTTTGACGATACACGTGCAACGCTGCAAGCTTCCTTTTCGAGAAAATAATAAAGACAACGACAGAGTCGTTTTAATTAAAAACATATTATTATTATTGCTATTATTTAGTATTCGATATACAAAGAAACGTGGAGTAGTGCAGGTGTTTCACAAAAATTGCGAAATTATATCTTATATTTAATCTAGAAGGTCCCAGATAAGTTTCCAAGACTATAAAATAAAGTTTCATTATTATTCTCAGCGATAAATTATACATAATCTGGGCTGGATTTTTGCTGGATAAAAAATCGCGATATTCCAACTGTATCTTCCATTAGGTATAGCACGCTGTACCGACAATGACAGATTTCCTATAAACACGAAGCTCTTCGTTGTTTTCAAAATTTATTCAGCGGGTTTCCTCCTTTCAACCACCGCCCCCTGTTTTTCGCTTTCAATTCCCTGGCTTTTATTTATCTTTTCTACAGCGGGCTTATTGGCATAAGACAAATTGGCAAATAAATTTGGCCGCGCACACAACGCAGGCGATAAAGCTTAATGTCCGACAATGATTTCCGGACTGTTCGTCCAATTCGGACGTATCCGAAAGCGGGCAAAGCCGCGCCGCTATTGTTGTAAAAGCAACTGTGAAATTTTATTCGTCGCACGTCCAACGAATTTACGTCCCGTAGACAACACTCTATTTTATTGCAATTTTTATTCAGACGTGTTCACATCCGAATATATTTTAAACCGTATCGGAAATCGCTTAATGTATCCCTGCGTGTATACAGCCAGGTACAGAAAACGTTCAATGATTTTACGGGATTACGGTATTTACGGAAAAGAGTGGAAAAATGTTCCGTAGACACAGATCTGATAATAACTTCTTAACAATTTATTTTTATTATTTATAATTTTTATTATTATGATAACCCCGGTACACCAATTTCACGACGAAAAATTTTATTGGTGGATGTACAATGTATCTCTTAGAAATTTCTTGTTTCTGAGGGTGGTCTGATGGTAACAGATCTGATAATAACTTCCTTAAAAATTTATCATTATTATTTATAATTTTTATTATTATGGTAACCCTCGAACACCAATTTCACGATGAAAAATTTGATTGTTGGATGTACAATATTTCCTTTAGATATTTTTTATTTCTCCACGTACTATAAGTCTTTTAAAATTTATCATTATTATTTTTAATTTTTATTATTATGGTAATCCTCAAAAACCGATTGTAACGATTAAAATTTTATTGGTGGATGTACAATGTCTTTCTTAGCAATTTCTTATTTCTGAGGGTGGTTTGATGGTAACAGATCTGATAATAACTTCCTTAAAAATTTATTTTTATTATGTATAATTTTTATCATTATTGTAACCCTCGAACACCAATTTCACGATGAAAAATTTGATTGTTGGATGTACAATATTTCCTTTAGATATTTTTTATTTCTCCACGTACTATAAGTCTTTAAACACTTCGATCCTATTTTCTTACCACCCTGTATAAACATGTCCTCTATATATACCCTTTTTCCAACGTGATGTATTACATAGCAAATGATTAATTCTATGTTTCATATTTCATCAGTAACATATTCGCGATAATCTTGTGCTATATTTGTCTCGATTGCTTTGTAATTTTCTAAGGAGTTCGCGAGTAGGGTCATTTAGTAACGCAAACACGTGATGCACGAAGTTGGTGTATAATTGAAATGGCTAGAAATGAAAAACTAATACGAAAACCATGGTATTGTTTTATTATTCTTTAATCATTACTCTCATAAAACGTACGTGTTATCTTTCCATTTCAATACGGATTGGATTCTGTTCGACTTTGTTTTCGGAAGTTACTGCTTCAAATTATGGCGTGGCTGGGTGCAAGACGGTGCAGGGACCGTGTTATCCCAGTTAAACAAATTCTTATTTAATTACCACGATTTCCGAGGTACTTCGACGTAATAGATACCCTGTATTCCTCACTATAAACCCACTATAAACCTTTCGAACGGTCAATTTCGAGCAAACACATTAGCCATTTTTACGTCTTCACGGAAAGTTTAAAGGACCTCAATCGGGAAGTCTTAATCGTTCCTATCTGGTATATCGAAACTGGAAAGTGCATTCAAGTTTATAGAACTTGCCGGTTATTTCAGCGAGTAATAGATGTTCCAAAGTACTCGAACACTTTCCTTAATTGTTGTCGCAGGGGGAAAAAATAATATCGGGAAAATGGAGCCCCGGAGGTAGCAAAACTGAAGGCGTACACAAATGTAACTGTCGATACTTTTTACGCTAGTTCCCTTCGAGGACACTCCGCGACATGTACGTTCCATTAGCTCTAAATCGAATCCTTCGTCCGCACCTGTACCTTTTTTCCTCGCGTCTCGCGTCTTCGGTCAATTCTAATTTAAAGCGGACACCGTATCGAGGAATTTCTCGTGTCTATTTACGCCGAGAATTCAAAGTCGGCCGGAGCCTCGGGGAACTCGGTGTCCGTCGTCGAAGGAAATCGGCGTGGCCGAAGAAAAGTTAAACCCCGTCCTCTTGTTGTTCCGGGAATATAATTTAGGAAATGGACAACGGATAGAGGGATAACTTGGGTAACAATCGCCGTCGTTGGATAAGAAAGAATCCCTTTGTGTCGATTTGCCTGGACTCCTTTTAGAATTACGCAACTTGCGCTTAACTTGGACTTTTCTGCAAAAGCGACGGTATTCGCGTGAGTGGAGGTAGTCACTTTGGATACTTCCTTCGTGCATCTGCATTGTAAATTGTCTGAAACAATTTCAGTTTCACGAAGTATCGCTACAAAGTGATTTTAACCCCGACTGATACTACGGAGTTTGAGTGACCCACATTGCTCCTTCAAAGTGCCCTATGTAATTGACTATAACGATTGTCCACCTGAAGCTTCCTGTGCATTATGCTCTGTCTTGATTAGATCTCGATCGATATTCAGGAAAGAGGAGGCGTTGCAAGATTGTTTTCTTATTTTAATCGAATAAAAGAATCGTGGAAGAGTAGCAAGTGGTATAAGTCAATGGTAGCTGACTTTGGATAGAAATATAATGTCTTTAATGAATAAAATATGAAGGAATATTACTATCATACTCTATAGTAGTCTCTGATAGATAAATTAGATAGCATTACAACGATTTGGAACTATGGCATGGAATATTCTAAGCGAAAAACTGAATAATGCAATGTCTCCGAGATGAGCCATTCATTCCAAAAACTTGGTTAAATCGAGGTCATCGTCGACTTAGGCCAAGTCACAAATATTTGACGTACGTGATGTCAGCGGAGTCTAATCGAAGGAGCTTTTGACGACCGGGGTAGTTACTTTAGAAAGGATGGGAGTGGCTCGGGTATAAGACCAAGTACGAACGTGTGTACAGGCTTTTTAAGAGAGCAATCTTTCCTTAGTGAGATTCTAAACCCAGAGTACGTCGTGTCAGCTGTGATTTGGCCATTTCGTATTTCTTTTAAAACAATCTCTCAAACAGAATACAAAATATTTGAGAAAATTATTAGGTCCCAATTCGATCTCAGAGGATGCACCACCCATAAACTTTTTCCATCGATAAACATCTGTAAAATCCACCTTCTCCGTGTGATATGTGAATATGAATGAGGTTGAAAAAAAAAAAAGAAACGTTTAGAAGAATGTGCCAGAATAAAACAGTTATGTGAGAATCGTCAAAGAAGAAACATGGATATATAATGGTTAATAAGAGCGAGAGAGAGGGAGAGAAGAATTTTCTAGAAAGTGTCAATTAATTTTTTTGTTTAATATAGTTTATTGGGAGTTGTTTTCATAATAAGAGCGAGAGAGAGGGAGAGAAGAATTTTCTAGAAAGTGTCAATTAATTTTTTTGTTTAAAATAGTTTATTGGGAGTTGTTCTCATTATTTAAATATTTTTATCTAAATATACCAATGTATTAACTGTTAAAAAACGTAGAAGATATTGGTGTCCATTTCTATCCACACTCCATAGGTATCCAGAGACAATATCATTCGCAAAACTTCGTCTGACCTAGGAGGATCCACGAAACTTATAAAACCCGGCAACAGCAAAACAATTAATATACAATTATTCATCGCGATCAGGCCGAAAGTGATTAACCACGTCCCCCTATGTCAAATCACGCCTGACGAATCCTCGTAATGGAACGACTCGCAACCCCAGGAAATTTGAACAACCCCAATTTGCGATTCGCCACACGCGCACATGTACACCCGGCAATCATAAGCGAGATCACGACTGGAACTCTGCGATCTAATCGAGCGGCCAACACCCGAAGAACAACACCGAGATGCTAGCCGAAAGCCAGAATCTTCGCTTCTGGTCTCTCGTTTGATCAGGGTGAAACGGACCCCACCCTCGGCAGTTATGTAACACCTATCTCACCCCCAGGTGGAAGCGGAGTCGAAACGTCGAGTCAGCCGGTCGATTCTTTGCTGCATCGTTAGAAAAGCTTATAGCGAAATGATTTCAGACGCGGCCGAGGAATCGAACATTCAATTTCGCGGGCGGCTATTAACGGGCGGCGAAGGGAGAGGAATTTACGATCGTCCATCGAATCGAGACACGGGATACAAGGTCTGAAAGTGGATATTTCGCGGCGGCCACACGTACGGCAATGAAAATAAAAAGGTAATAGTAATGGATACACCGCGTGCTGGCCGTGGAAGACGACGCTGCATTATCGTGATAATGCCGCACGTTTCTCAAGCCGGCGCCTCCCTTCTTTATCCTCTCAGCTAACCCACGGCCCTGTTTTCTCGTTCTCCTGGCCCGTTTCATTGCAACGGTCGGCAACTTTTATTTTTCCA